GTTAATTCGACTTTTGCGTTAATTCGACCGATGACCGCCGACCGCAAGCGGTCGAATTATCGGCAATCGACTGTAGTAAAATTTCGTCTTGTACTTATACTTTTGTCGGGGGGGGGGGGTGTAGATTCACTAGTGCGACCAAAGTATAGGGGTACTCATTAATGGCTTTGGGTCCGAGTATTTCCTCCCATGCAATCGCTCTAGTAAATCTTCAAATATATCTCTGTTTTTAAAAAAATAATAAAGTCAAGATGACAAAATGTGTATCAATTATTGTATATATCTGATTACGTTAATCTTTGCAATGCATATTTAAATTCTTAAATAAAAAATGAAACTCGCAAATTGTGCCAACTTAATGAAAACAAGGTCCCCATATTCGATGTTATTTTATATTATTACAACAAACACAAATTTCTGCGCATTGATTATCATTGGCCACATTCTGCATACATGGGGACAATAGTTACATTGTGAAAAGGTCTAGAAAGTTCCTAGTAATACGTCATTGATTAAGCCACTGATCGGCGTTGGTATATTAATATTAGATCACATCGCGCACTAAAACCTTTACGTACTCGCCGTATTCATTCTCATGAGTTTGCAAGACAGTCTTCGACAATTGAAAGCCTCTCTAGAGGAAGGCCTCATTGACGACAATGAGTACACGCGAACTAAGGCTGACCTACTCAAGGCCTTTGCATCTTCACCAGGTAACGACTTTGTGACTCGGGCGTTGGGGACATAGAGTAGTGTGTACACAGGATAGAGTAGACAGAGTAATATTTTTAATAGCTTCCGCTATATCCATTTCATATAAAAGGAGACCGTAGATCAAAAAAACCTCGCCTTGACCGAACATTCAATATCTGCCAAACCCTTATACAACCATTCAATGTGGCTCCAACTCTGGCTAATCAAATTCCGGCCCTCATTAATTCGAATCTTTTCTGCAAGTTACCCGTTGCCCAGGACGAGAACATAAGAGTTTGTAGATCAGCCTTCAATTTTTTCGGCTTTCATTTAATTAATTTCATATTCTGTCTCTAGTATCCAGAACTTGATCCGTATGTTTACTGTAATGATAGAGACTCCGTAAGTGCTTTATCGCTGCAAATCAGCACTGTTCTCTCAAGCCGCTTCCAGGATCGCGTTAGGCGTGGCGGTTCGGAGGATATGATGCACTGGGTTATGGACACATTGGTTACGGAAGTACTTGGAACTTTGGCGGAGCATCTCAATGATGCACTACCAATTGATATGGATCGGAACAAAAAGGACACGTAAGTATTTATCTTGCAACTTGCAATTTTTTGTAAAATGTGGGTTAATTATGGTAAATTTTTATTATAATTGTAGGGGAACAACGACAAAAGGCAATGATAGACCAGATTTCCTTTGCATGCTGAAGGATGTCCTCCTATTCAAGGGTGAGGAGAAACCCAACCAGGAAGAATTTGGCTCCGCCAGGATGGAACTCTTGACAAAGTTTAATTGGTTCGATCCTCTGTCGTTCGGAACCATAAGATTCATGATCTGTTACGCGGCAGCCGGCCCAAAAATAAGATTCTTTGCCCTCGACGGTAGTGCTAGACCTTGCACTCTGACCGAACTAACACCAAAACTCGACCTCAGCACCCCGCTTAATCGGATCAAAGTTATACAGACTGTCATTAATATCGCGCGGATCCTCGTGACTATTGTTCCAGTTCTCCCCCAATCGCCTATTCCTTTGGGTCTACGGATGAAGTCAGACGAAACGACTATCACTTTTTTGGAAACTTTGGTCGTGAAGGAAATGCCGTCTGACTATCTCCCATATGCCAACAATGTGAAGACGCGTGTACGTTTCCTGTCAAATATGTACAAAGATGCCAAAGGTCACCGAGGGCTTGTTCAGGCCGTAAAAGTCAATGCGGAAAAAGGGGTATACAAGGTTACGATGCAAACCCGAGGCCTCCCATTCCAGCCAGCAAACGAACGCGACCTTCAGGCTATGATTAGAAGTGTACTTACTGGACTTGTCCGGTTGCATGATAAAAAATATGTTCACCGTGACATTCGCCTTCCCAACATCTTATACGCTCCAAATGCACATGCTGGCTATCACTACGTCCTCATCGACTTCGAACATGGAGGTCAAGATGGAGAAATAGTCCCCGACATCTTAAAGGACTGGGATGACAACACGTTGCATCATGGCAAATACAACATGTATTCAGATTTATATCAGTTGGGGAAAATATTGGACACATTCCCTAGGTTGTTATCTCCTCTTGGGGTGAATATGGCACAACAATTAAGCAATAAGCAGCTGAATGCGAAACAGTTACTTAGTCACCAGTGGATCCAGGCATATGTAAATACCCTCCCAGCTGCACAGAGGTAATGATATCTTTGTATTGCTGCTTAGTATCAAGGACTAGCGATGCAATTTGAGTATGTACAAATTTACAATCCTTAGCTTGGCATCAAGAACTCAGCATGAATCAACCAATAACCTGTAAATAAATGCATTATTTCACTTTCCATTTATTCCAAAAATAAGTATGAGTAATATTTATGTCAGTCTTCCTAATAAATTGTGCTATTCATATTCTCGTTTAAAATGACTTTGGAATCATTTTGTTCTACCTTTTATATCAAATGAATAAATCCCACTGGATGTTGCCAAGTTTCTCAAAACTCAGGGTTCAGCGATGGCAAATGTTCACTTTGTCTGGTTTTGTTGTAGCATGCCCCATATAATAATAAGCTATAATAAAGTGCAATAAAAAGATATTGACAATTATACAATACACCTGAGATTTCTGAGAATAACCTGTAAAAAAGATGAAAGCATTAATAATGGATAAATAAAGCACAGAAAAGAGAAAAAACTAAAAGAGAAGGTTATAATAGATTAGAATGGCTAGGAAAAAAAACAAAGTTAATAAATAAAGGAAAAGTGAGTAATAAGAAAGTAAAAAAGAAAGTATTATAACAGTAATAGTAATACTTCTGGGTATACAATACTTTGAGTATATCCAGAATTTGCATGTTGTCCTGGAGCAAGCAACATAAAACTGGCCATGAGAAAATACAGGTGTTAGTGTGGTGTGGGCAGGTAAATGTAAAATAATATCATGATTGCATACATTAGATAGATGGATTATTGTCATCACCTGCTATAATAGCAGCAATTTCAGAGTAGTTGGAACATTATAACATCATGAATCTATTATTATTATAGTCAAATTTTGAGATAGATTCTGCTGAAGTAATCTACCTGTTTGTTGAAAAACTTGTACATATTAATATTACATATGGGTTAATATCATAAAGCATATTAATATTTTGAAGAGCTGCAAGAATTACCTGATTTAAAGAGGGCATAATAATATATTAAGCCTATTTTGAGTCTCATTATCAGTATCAAAAATATAGATTTGTGCAAATGATGGAGGTTTGACAGTTGATGACCCAATTCTATGATACATTTCACCATGTATATGGAAAGTATAATAATAAGGACCTCTTGTGCCAGTTATATGATCATCAATTTTAGCTCCTATAGTAATAGAAGTAAAAGCTAAAGCTGAGTTATAAGCACAGATGTTTTGTTGAAATTCTTATGAAACTGCATATTAATAAGACCTTAATACTGCTGGAGGTTCTTGAAGACATGGTAGAATTTTTTCCTGGGACAACAGGTTGCAAATACAGGTAAGTAAACATTTAGTTGATTCTGTGACTCTTTCATCTAACCATTTTAAGGCACCACAAGAAAAACATGGGGTATTAGTATCCATTTTTCCAAGAGTATATCATTGCAACCTACTTGAATTAAAAGGATACACCATGCTTTTGGAATTAAAACACTCCTTGGTACCATGGTAAGATCCAGAAGAATGTCATCTTGGTATTAAGGGGAAGTGGAATAATAAAGTTAGTATCATTAGTAGAAGATGAAGACTGAGCAGGTGCAGCAGTTGTTTTGCATGCAGATTTTCGAGCTTCTGATTCTTTTTTGCCTTTTACGCCGTCCATTTTGCTCTAAAGTTTGGTTAGCTTTTGTTCGAGCATTAGACTCTCTTTTCAATCTACGTCTTCGTTCAATTGAGGTTTCTTTCGCTAATGTTGTCCATAATAGTAATAGTAACAGTGTTAGAATTTGAGTCGCGTTTGTAACAAAAAAAAAGGCGTTGCAGTTGTAAACAAAAAAAGGCGTCGCGATTGTAAACAAAAAAGGCGTTAGCATATGAACATGTGATGGTCATATATGATTGGGTAACTTAAACGGGTCCGTATTATTTCATCGATAATCATTTCACCGACAGCACATTTCACCGACAATTAACTACTAAAAAAGGATAAATTCGAAATAATGCTGGTAAATATTTGTCGGTGAAATGATT